TATCATCTTTTAATCTGGAAAGTTCTTTAATACATGAATTATTATTAACTGTTGTTGTTGTTGTTGTTAGGAGCTCATACCGGGCGAAACATCAAAGTCTGATGATGTTTTTCATTAAAGATTTGATAAATTCATTTTATAAGTAAAACAAACTGATTGCAGTTCACTGTATTGTACTTGCAAATTAACAAATATATGTGATTTATTGTCTTCTGATCTTTATGTTGTAACTACTTTATAATGTATATCTTGAGACTGATGGGTCGGGTATAGATTCCATTGCACATTAATTGCGTCTTAGATCTTTTCATCCTGTATTTTATCATTTAAAGTAATTTATTCTTGTGGGGATCTCTATATTTAAACACCGAGACGAATTCCTCGTATGTGTAAAAACCTACGGCAATAAATCTGATTCTGATTCTGATGAGGATGAACGAGTGAAGAGGGAGAGGAGAGAGGAGGAGAGAGTGTGAGGAAGGAGGAGGAGGAGGAGGGGGAGGGGGGAGTGTCTCCATGCAGCCTCGGAGCTCAAGGCGGGACTCCGCGCAGCAGCAGCTTCAATCGCTGACCGACACGACCTCCTGCTCGTTCCAGGCCGCGGCATGGACGCCGGAGCCCGCTGTTCCCTCCGAACCACAGCGCCCGGTCTCCCAGCGCAGACAGAGGGCAGATAATCAAGGGAGGCCATGAAGAAAGACGGATCTATGATGAAGATGAAGATGATGATGATGAGCAGTTAGAGCGGCGGAGCGGAAACAAACCGCAGACTGAATCCGTGCGCGCGGCGGCGCGTCGCGCTCCGATGCTGCAGAAAAATCGCCATTGTTTGGATGCGCAGCAGCCTGAGAGCCAGAACCAGAACCAGAACTGCACCGACACCGTTTGACCCACAGACACCATGCTCCCCCCGCTACTCCTCACGCTCTGCCTGCACTGCTTCACCCAGGTAAGGACGCGGGTTTTGGGGTAAATACGGAGGGTTGGTCGCCTGTCTGGGTCCTGCAGAGCCGCCTGTGAGTCTTTGTTGTGGGCGAACTGAGCTCTTGTGTGGGTTAATGGAGGACTGTATAAAGGCTGATTAATGACACAGTCAGTGTGTGCCGGTGGATGGGCTGCTGGGGGGGGGGATGGACCCGTTGTGGCACCGCAGGTCGGTTTGTGCGGCAGCCAGCAGCTCGTTGGCCCGCAGAGGGAAAGTGGGTCAGTCCGCTCCAGAACGAGGACCCGGGAGTCTGTCAGCATCACTCAGGATCACAACAACACACACACACTGTAACAC